GTGTGTTTACCAAGGTGTTTGTGACTGGTGGCAAATAATGATGATATTTTGTCTTGGCCCACGTTTTAAAATAGGGCTGCATCATATGAGGGAAAATAGAGTATCATGGCAATTGCAAAATAAACTCCCTTGTGCGGGGAGGGAGGGGGTGGCAGTGCACGGGTAGATCTGATCTTGGGTTGCTTTTAAATGCCAGAGGTAATCTCCTACTTAAAAAGGTTGGAGACCATTGACCTAGAGGTACTGACAAAGCCAGACTACTTTGAGCTGGGCTTTCAAGATGCACACCTCCTAGAAAAAATGGCTGCTTGTCTGGCGGGGTGGTCTCTTATTGTGCAAGGGACAGATGAATGCCTTGGATATCTCCATGCTCAAGATGCTGTCTGTCCTGTGACTGGGCGCAGGAACTTTAGGATCTCTGCTGGCCAGTGGTGTCTCCTGCTGTTGGTCTAAAGCAGGTAGTTTCCACCATGCAGCTCGCCTTGTTCTGCCCCTTGGATTCTGTGAATGTTGAGCCCCTTCCTCTTCCTGCAGGCCTGTCCCAGAGCTGCCTGGAAAATCCACATTCTTTGTGGGCAGCACTGATGAGTTCATTGAGAAGCGGAGACGAGGGCTCCAACAGTTCCTAGAGAAGTGAGTGGAAGTGATCAAACTCACTTTAATTTAGGGTCATTTCACACTGAATTTGAGATGGCCTGGGGAGATGGGAGGGAACTTTTTAACTCTAATGCCTTGCTTCACAGCCTGTTTGCATTCCTCCCAGGCTGGAGGCGGTGGCTGTCTGGGCTCAGGGAAAAGCATTCCAGATAAAGCCAAGGGTGGGCAGGGAAATGCTGGCTGAGTGACAGTATAGAAATGCCCTGGACCCCACATTGGACAGTCCTACTGAAGAGGACTGATCTATGTCCCTGCCATCTACCAGCCCCCACCTGGGCCTAGGATGTGGTCCAACAGTTAAGCAGTGCTGTGTCCTGTGCCCTCATTTGCTTGGTCTCTTTTCCAGAGTTGTACAAAATGTGGTCCTCCTGTCAGACAGCCAGCTGCACCTCTTTCTGCAGAGTCAGCTGTCTGTGCCTGAGATCGAAGCATGCATGCGGGGCCAGGGCCCTCTGACGGTTACCGAGGCCATACTCCACTATGCCTTGTCCAACTGTGGTTGGGTGCAGGAAGAAGATGGCTGCTCTGCTGTCCTGACTAGGGGAAACCTCCATGGCAGGTAAGCAAGTGACCAGAGAGGCCTGGTACTTACAGGGTGGTTCAGTGAGACCAGTACTTGAGGAGAGGAGAAAACTCAAGTTGTCTCCTTGCTTGGAGCAGATTCCCATTAGTAAAACCTGAGCCTGATGGCTCTAGACTGCAAATGGCTGCAGTCTAGGTAGAGCAGAGGCAGTGCTGACCAGGCAACAACCAAGCTATAGATAACCCCAGATGTAGCTTTGCACCATGTAGCCACTTCACAGGAACACTGACATTTCGTATCTTGGATGTGCTGTACTCTGAAATCTGCTCCCTCTTCCCTGTGTCTCTGCTGGTTGTCACAGTGAGGGACAGTGCCCTGGAACAGGCGAGATTGTATCCTACAACACATCCTAAAGTTGCCTGGCCAGGCGTTGGGGATGTGTTGCTCTAGTGCAAAGCCCTTTTCTGGCTGGGGAAACCGGGTTCCTCTCAGAAGAGAAAGGGACCATATCTGGTCTTAGCCTTGTCCAGAGGAACATCAGTAGAAATAACAGAAAAACCTTTTAGTGGGAAGGTCTTGTACCAGTTTCCATCCTTCAGGCCTCTAGCCTATCAGCTGCTTCTCTATTCCAGAACATGTGTGAGGTGGGAAGAGCCAAACACCCCTATTCTAGGCAGTTTCCATAGCATTAGCCTTGCTTCTGTCATCTTGTGGGTGCCTGAGAGGTGAACCTCACTCCAAGCAAAGGTCTTGTGGAGAAGTGCTGCATCTGAGATAGGCAAGGTCCTTCCTGGTGCTAGTCTTCTTGGCATCTCGATATCGAGAATATTTTGCCTCCCTGTGCCAGTGTCATCTCTCTGACTTCAAGCACTTAATGAACATGAATGAATCAAAATCGTCAGCTATATCCCCACACAAGTCATGGGACAACAATTGGGGGCTAGCAGCTAGTGCTTTGCACAGCTGCCTGAAGGGCAGGAAAGGTTCTTTCAGTGGGGCGTGAGGGGTGAGCAAATAAACGCAGTCATGATACTGCTATTGTGCCAAGGCTCCTATTCTATCTGTACTTGGCCAGAGGGCTGGCTGGCAAACATAGCTGTTTTGTTTAGACCCCTTACTAACTAAACCCTAACTCGGGGGTTGTCAACCGGGGGGATTTGAGAAGGCCCTAGCGGGAACATGCAGGTGGGCGGTGATGGAGCCTCTGGGGTACACTGATCCAAAAACGGTTGAAAACTCCTGCTCTAACTAGTGCTGGGTCTCTGAGCTAGCAGGCTGGGCATAGCAAGACCTGACTGTGGGTGGTTAGCCCAGGCTAGCAGACTATCTGTGCCTCATGCTTCTTTGGGCTTCTGTAGGCATAAGTCTGTTTCTGACTCTTAGTGCTGCATGTCACCACAGTGTCTCTTCCTCTTGATTTTAAACCACAGGAAAAAAGCTGCACCTGGCCTCCAGCAAGAGACCTGGTATTACCTGCAGCCCTTTTGGTTTAAGTAGGGTTTTGATTGAGTGCAGCAGCCTAGGTTAATGGGTATGTATCCACCCATCTTGGTGTTCCAGCGGCATTGCCAGTGTCATATGCCCCTCCTTGGTGACTCTTCTCCCAATGCTGTCCCTGGTAACTGAGACCTCCAGTTCCTCTCCCCAAATCTTTGGCAGGAGGCTTGGTGCTGCTTTTGGTAGATGGGGTGTTTGTCTGGAAGCACAAGAGTATTGTAGAGGCAAGGGAGGGAGGCCTCCTCTACCTGCACAGCTCCTGCAGCACAAAGAGCACCATAGGCTCTTGGTGAGAAGGCTGCAGTGGGGAGGACAGCAGGGCATAGTGCTGCAAAGAAGTTGCCTGCTGTGCTCCTTTTTCCCTGGAGGCACTCCCATAGGGCATGCATGCAGTATGGGTCTGGAGCAGACCGGCTTGCTGATCCAGGGATCAGCTGGACCATGGGCCAGTGGGCAGGGCATTCTAGGGAGCATTCCAGCTCCTGGTGCTCAGTTATGCAGCTATGCAGTGACTGCTAAAGCAGCTTGGCAGTGTCAGGGGCAAGACAAGGAGGTGGGATATGCATGTGAATGCTTGCAGTCCATCGCTGATCCAAGCTGTTTGTGACAGGGCAGAATGTGTATGTGGGGGGCATCCTGCCCTGCAATGGAAAGCTGGGGCTGTGCACCCCACTCAGAGCTCCTCTTCCATCCTCACTCGCATGTTCTTTCTCCCTTTCTAGCTGCTCTGGGTTGGAAAGTCTCTGTAGTCGGGGCTGCCTCGTGTCCTTCCCACAGTGGTGTGACTTTGGCATGGAAGACAACAATGTGGAGAGTCTGGATGCTCCTGCCAAGTCGCTGCCTGAGCTGCTGGAGACAGAGTGAGCAGCGTGAATGACCATGGATGCTCTGGCAGAGGGGGACGGGGGGGGCAGCAGTAAGTCTTCTGGTGAAGAAGAGGATGGTGGCTGAGTGGCTCTCAGCTGTCTTGGTGAGGTAGGACTGGAGTTCACGTGGCTCTAGTTCTGCAGCCTGCTGTACTCCCAGCAGGGAGTGACCTGCTTCCTGATGACTTGAGACTGTTGTTACCACTCAGATGCTGTGTGATCACACCAATGATGTGCACCAAAAGGGGACTGGTGCTTAGTGGAACCTAGGTATATTACTCCCAAGGGCTTAGTGATGCACTTAAAGGGTGAGTTGGGGGGGGAGGGGAATCAAAGTCAGGGCTCTTGATCTTGTAGTTCTTGGTCCCCAGGGAGCACACGGCTGGCTGTTGTCACGCACGGACCTATAGGAAGTGGGTTCCAATGGACTTCCTGTACCTAGAGTTATAACTTAGCCCCTGTAGCATTCCCTTCTGAGCAGTAAATGGCTGCATAGGCACAGGAGGCCTAGTCTTTCTTATACAATCAGTGTGTTATAAGGGCTTTTGTGAGGTGGCTCTGGCTCAGTTGTGCTGTGCTGGGGGACTGGAATGAACTCTGCACCTATGGCCCTCCTGGCACGGAGGCTGCCTGCAGCCAGGCTGAGCAGATGAGCTTCTCTCTGCACTCTAGGAAGCCAGAACAAGTCCTCTAGAACTGGGGACAGGCTTGAGCTGTACTATAGGGAAGAGGATGATGGAAGGTTGTTGTTACTCTCCTTTTAGACACAGCACCCCTCCAGCTTCTCTTCCTGCATGAGAACAGCCTGCCTTCCTTGTGCCCCTGTGTAACATACAACTTAGGTGGCATGGGGAAAACGATTTCTGCTGTTGGCCTGGCAAGGGGGTGGGAGGTGGCCCTGTGTAGAGAAGGAGCAGTTCAAGGTTCTGGGCTGCAGGGGTCTCCAAGGCCTCTCTTGCATTCAGCACTTAGTCACCACTTACTCACTATTGTTCTGTATACTCTGGGAGTCTTGTATCCTGCATCTATGTGATTTACCATTGGCCTCTCTTGGGGCATAAAAGGCAGATCTGTGATGTTGTGGCCTGAAATAAAAGTGAAGTAGAGGAGACAGCTGGTGCCACGCGTGTCTTGGAGAAGTGGGGATGGGCAGGGAGTTCTGCTGAGCGAAGACAAGATCACCTATATCTCAGCTGCACTGGGGAAAAAAAAAATGGTGCATTTTAAGTAACGGTTTAGTGCCAGGTGTGATGCCAACAGGACCAGCCCCTGCCCTGTGCTATGCTGCATATCAACAGAGGACCTGCTTTTCTTTCCAGAGTGAGTAAGAAGGGATACAGAAGGGCTCCTCTTCAAAGTACTTTCAGGCATGGCTCACTGGGATTTACAAATGTGCTGTGATATTGTCCTTGTTCCTATGTGCATGGTGACAGTTCCACAGCTGGGAGAGAATCTGGGGATACCACCTCCTGCACATAAGCCCAGTTGCCATTGCCAGCTTCAAAATGGATCCAGTGCTGAGGTATGGCAGTGGAGTGCCACCAGGTTTTCCTTGTGGGGAGGAGAGGGAAGGAAGGGGAAGAGCCTTATTTGTACCCCTCAAAGAAAGGGGGTGGGAGGGGCTCCAGGTGGCTTTGAGGGGGGAAGGAAATTGAGAGGACTCCACTTCTAGGGCTGGGGGCTGCTGAGACCTCACTAATACCAGGGTAGACAAATGCTTTTTAATGTTACAGGGTCCAGAGAGCCTGTTGGCTTTTCCACATACAGTGGTTGCCGGGGCCCTTGCTCCTCTCTTCCACTTCTTCCATTGGGCACTAACGGCTGAGACCCAGCCTGCTTGGCAGGTGCCACAGTACCTCCTAGGGGTTGCCAGGCCTAACTGCAGCCCTCAGACAACCTTCTTGCCTAGTGTCCACCTGGGCGGTGTATGGTGCATGTTCCAGCAGGACTGTGGGAAGAGACACCTGGACTGGAAGAGGGCTGCTCATGTGCATTGTGGGCTTCAGTCATTCCCCTGCACTGAAAGTTTGACCTGGCTGGATGAATCGACTGTCTTGTGCTTCCTCCATAGCTCTGGGTCTTGTTTAACAGGGGGCTCATGCCCATCAGCTGGCACTGTCCCAGGGACCCCAAGTACTGGGTGACAACAAGGCCTGGTAGTGAGGGCACTGTTGGTGGTGCTGAAAGCTGTGGTCCATTTTCTTCCGGTGCTTGCCCAATGAGATTCTTTTTCCATCCCTTTACCCCTCAGTGTGGATGCACTGTCAGCCTGACAAACACAGAGATGGGGAGTGAGGGAGGAGGAAACAGAGGATTTGAAACCTGCAGAGGAAAATCGAAAATGTCAAAAGAAGTTCATTTAAAAAACCTGACAGATGCTCGCTAATAGTATCCGCTCTGCTGATTGGCTGGGCTGCTCTATGAATATTCATGAGAGTAAAGCTCCAAATGGTGCAGCTGTGAGGCCAGCTGTGCCTGCAGCTCTAATCTAGAAACTTCCAGACAGTAGCTGGTGGTGTTGACTATTCAGCCAAAACAAGAGACCTGTGTGTCAGGGCTGTTTTTGCCCCCCTGGGCTGAGGCTCCACCTCCAGGGCTGGGGGCTGCTGGGGTCTCACTAACTCCAGAGTAGACAAGTGGCCTTTAATGTTACAGGCTCCAGAGAGCAGAGTCTGTGCCCAGTGGAGATTGTCGTGATTGCAGCTTGTGGATTTACCTGGCACACACCCCCGTGCCTTGGCAGTGGGCCCTTTTAGCAAAGTCTTTGCCAGAAACCAGCCTGCCCTGGGGGTTTTCCCTTCAACACTGCCTTATAAACAGCAGCCCTTGCTCCTCTCTTCAATGACCTTGACTACAAAGCTTGCTGGGGGGGCGGGGGCTCTGCAGGCACAGTGAGGTGCATCCAGCCTGGATGCTGTACTGTGTCAGCCTTCCCTCTGCAATAGCATTCTCCCCTCCTCACAATGCGTTTGGGAGGGGGCATGGGGTTGGAACTAATATCACCCGCTCTGAGAGTGAGATGTGACACTTCGTTCCCCCCACCTGCCCCCAGCACAAACTCTTCTAGGTGGCAACTGCTGGCTGAGGGGGAGCGCACAAAGGAACTGTTTATGAAAAATGAAAGCTGTGGGGCACGTTCTTCCAGGCTGCTGATTAAACAGGCTCCACTCCAGAGCTGGCTGTGTTTCAAGGGCAGGAATAATTATGCTGAAAGGTGTTGATCAGTTCGGCAAAACTGCCATGAAAATATGTCAGTTCAGATGCAAAAAAATTATACTTGCCTTTGTCGTGACAGGTAGACAGGATGGAGGTGTGGGGATGCTCTTAATATTTTACGGGCCTCAACAAATTAAGAGGAGAGAGGTTCTTGGACAGGGTGAGTGGACTTGTTGGCCAGACCTGCAAGAACTCCAGGCTCCAGACCAATAAAAGCGGGTCCATCAGCATAGATGTTTTGTACAAGAAATTCCTTTTCTGAGTGGTGTCCAGATTCTGCTAGAGCTCCTGTGGTGCTATGCTGGCTGTAGGGTGGCATGGGACCATGGGTGTAACTGCCTGTAGGAGCAGGCTGCAGTCTCCTTTCACCAGGTACATGGCTTGGACAGCTTTTGGTTAGTTGGGAGGGAGGGAGGGTGGCACTTTTCACCTACTTCTGTGGGGACTTGGCCCCTTTGACTGTCCTATGCAGGTGGCAGGCCTGAAGATTGTTCTGGCCTGCTCTGCAGTTCTCTCTTTCCTCTATTCCCTAGTGCTGGCTGCTCTGCTCAGGGAGGATCATTGTGACCCTAAGTCCTCCAGCCTTATGTTCCATTCAGAGTTTTGCTTGGCAAGAGCACGCCTCTTCAACAGGGAAAGTCATTTTTACTCCTGCCACTGCCAGGAACGGAGATGTTGAGGTGGTGACTGGGGGGTAGGATGGAAGCAGACTGCCAGTGCCCACCGCAGATGCATTTAGTGAAGGGCTGCTGTAGCATCTGTGGATTTATGTGCGAACAGCCAGATGAGATGTGGCCATGGCCAGGTGCTGGGCTGGGAGATAACTGCTTCCTTCAGTCAGGTGCCAGGCATGGATCCTGAGCCCCATTCCTTGCTTTCTACCTCCCGCCAAGCTGAAGTCAGGTATGTGATGGGCACGGAGCTGCTCAAGGTAACCTTTCTCTTTCCAAATGGCTGAAGGCCTTTCTAGATTACTCCACAGCTCCCCCCACCCTCATCTTGAATGCTGGCATCATTCCATCCTCTCTGATGCCTGGCAAAATCTCAACCTCTTTGCTTGGAAGCAGTCCAGGCCCTTCAGACAGCTCATCCTCTTCACACCTGCCCCCCCCACAAAGGAAGGCTGTCTCTCAAGTCTGCAAACAAATGGCAGCACATGTACCACAAGCCACTTGGGCAGGGAGGGGCCTAGCAGCACTGATTGATGAGAAAAATTAGAGGCCGAAGCTAGCTTACTTCACTGTGCTATAAACTGCTCTGGCCCTCTTGAGCAGAGGTTGAACCTGCCAGCTGGGAGGTGGCTGCTGCTGCCTAAACTGAGCCACTTCCTGATCTTCAAATGGAAACCAGCTGAGGAAATACCAGCTCCAGGACTGATAGTGTGGAATGCATTAGATGGGAGAGAGATGTGGCTACCTCCCACCTCAGCCAGCTGATTGACACTGTCACTGCAGGGTGGGGGGTAAGAGCAACTCTCATCCCTTCCCTAGGGTCTGCACAGCTGCTTGCAGGAGGTCTCCCAGCTGAGAAGGTGAGATAGGAGATGAGGGTCTTCCTGTGTAAGCAGCACAGCTCCCAAAACATGATGCCAGCTCTCACTGCCCACAGCCTGCCCTTTACCTGCGGCAGGTCTGGAGAGGGCAGGAGTGCAGCTGACAAGTGGGCGGTGTGTGTGCCACCATTGCCCTCTACTGGGTGGAACTGGAACTGCTGCGTGCCATAGCACACTGCCCTTCTGCTGTGGTGGCAGAGCTTCTTTGGGTGATGGTGATGGGGCAGGAGAAGAGGTTGGCCCTTGCTGTCATTTGGGACAGCAGCAAAGGCTGTGGGTCTGTTACCTAGCTTTGCCCTCTTACTGAGCCTCCCCTGGTCACTGCCATGGGCTTTGGCACTGGGGTTCAGGGGCTTTATTCTCTCTCAGAAAAGGGATCTAAAATGATAGAACACAGATATCTCACACTTGCTGCCACTGTTCCACTGCTGTCCAGGTACAGCTGCTTTCACTTTCCTGTGGCCTGTCTGATTCAGGATTTTTATTAGCTTACACCCTAATCTGTCCCAGTGAGAGTCAAAAGATCACGCTGTATGGTAGTCAGGATAAGCCCTCCCTACGATAGTCAGCTTTAGGCAAAGTACCAGAGCAAATATGACTTCAGGCTCGAGCACCAGTATGTGCTGAGGACTGACCCACAGACCAAAGCATCACTCCCAGGGGCTTGCAATGGCACTAGCAAAATGCATCACTGCCACAGTAGGCTTCAGAGTTAGCCCCTCTGGTAGCCTGAAAACTATTATCCTGTAGACTCAGACAGATGCCTGTTCAGCTCACAGGGAGAAAAGTTTCACTGGAAAGGAAATAAGCATTGCAGAGTATCCCCCAGCCCCAACCACAGACCCCACTAGGTTCACATACAGTAGCCCAGCCCAGTTCCCACACCCTGCTGCTGCAAAATCCCTGGGGTAGTTGACCCCTCAAATCCTTCCTTCGTGGTGGGGAGGAGGTATGGAGGCAGCCAGTGCCAAGAGACACGCTGCAGCAGATGCAGGTTATCCTGCCTGCTACAAGCAAGGAGGCTCAGCTATGTCCTGCCAATTACAGGACATCTGTTCATTCTGCTGAAAAGGGGTGGGTTCTGTCTCTTTAAGAGTCCTCCCAGTGACTGATGAGGGCTGGGACACTGAGCCAGGCCAGCCCTGATTAAACACTCTTCGTGCAGAGCACGGTTAGAAAATTACTGTAATTATGATGCGATCCCAGCAGAGGGCTGAGCTGCAATCCTGCTAATAACCCGGACAGGTGCCTCTTTCCCTGTGCCCACAGAAACCAATCCAGGGAAGCTACTCTTGAAACTGACTTGTGCCAGCCGATAAATGGGGTGCTGTGAGGCCTGGCTTTCCTCATGCACCCAAAAAATCCCACTCCCTGATGTTCACGTGTAGTGCCTTATCACCAACTGTAGCCTCTACTAGGAAAACCTGCTCCTCCACTAGCAGGAGACTATGTTGCATGAACAGGTCTTTCCTTGCTTCCTTTGGTGCTGGTGAAAGATATGAAGGAACTGGGATGGGTGAGGAGCAAACGCTGCTGGAAAACCTACATGTTACACGATGGAGGCAGGTTCAGCTGAACTGTTATCCCACCCTGACAATAATTTTAACTGCAAGGGTCAGGAGAGGGGTCACCAAGTGGGCCAGGGAAAGTGAGAACACTTTCTGGCTGGCCTTAACCGGAAGTGGCATTTTAGTTCGATCCAGCTCTGCAGCATCTGTATAGATTGGGCACTTCAGCAGGGCTTTTTGGTGCTTTTATCTAATAGCTGATTCAATCAGCTATTAAATAAAAGCACCAAAAAAGCCCTACTAAAGCACTTGATCTATACAGATGTTGGGCGCGCTGGGTCTAACTAACATGATGCCTCTTGGCATGTACTGGGCTGGGCCTGGAAACATGATGAGTTTAAGTAAAGCACCATTTTGTTTTTTGCCCCCATGTTTGCAAGGAGTCAGAGAGGCTAAGTGACCTCCCAAGGTCAAAAGCAGAGAAGAGCATCCTGGCTTTCTAGTCTGCAGACCTTGGCTTTGACCAGAGATCCAACCCTGCCAGCCCAGTCTTGTGCACAGTCTGTGCCCCAGTACCTTTCTGCAGAGGCTGGAGCTGTCCTGCCTATACTGGTTGTCAAACCCTTTCAGCCACTCCTGCTCCTGAAGCCACAAAACATTTATCCTTGATGCTGTCTATTCCACATGCCTCATAGGACTCAGACCAGGGGCTTACTCCAACCCCACTTTGACTAACCCCAGGAGTTGGGGGCAGTCAGTGTCACAAGACTGTGTGAGTTTGAGTAGGAAGCTGGTGAGAGCACCAAGACAAGGCTGGCTGCCATCCTGCACTGATCTCACCTCACCTTCTGGGCTCACAAAGGTGCTGACATTTGTTCTCCCACGTTTCACTCCCTGGTGAGTGCTACTGCTAGAAGCTGCCATCATGCCCCAATGGTTACATGGAGCTCAGCCAGGAGGGGAAGGAACCAAGTAACAGCCTTCCCTCTCCTCCCCCACTTTGCTGTCCTGCAGGTCTCACAGGTGAGCTGTCTTACCATGACTGTTAGCCAAGCAGCTAAATTGATCAGAGCTGCCAAGGCTCTTTACTGAGTGCTACAGAAAGCCAGACTGGAAAAGCTTCCTGGTGCTTGCTTCATGCCACAAAGATCCACAAGACCCTGGTGAGCAGCAGGAGGATTCGTATCTCTTCCCCCTTCCAGCAGTGGGGGTAAACTTCTGGATAAACCTTTCTGCAGAGAGTTGGTGGGGGCATGATGTGGTGGGTTCAGGCCTTTCCCAGCTAACAGCCCAGGGTCACACATGGAGGCCTTTGAACTCCAAATTAATTAGAAGTGGGTTTCCAGCGGGTCCCCATCCAGAGGCTTGGAGGCACTGAAAATTCCCACCCAGGGGCTGCAGTGGGCATCCATGTCTAACAGAGACCCTGGAGCCTTTTCTGGAGAAACTCAGGCCCCACCTCAGGCAGGTACTGAAACATCATGCTTAACTGGTACCTGGTGAATTGCCACCCTGATGAGAGGCCTGAGTTAGGAGAGGGGAAAGCACACCCTTCAAAGAGCCTGTCATGCCTAGCTCCCATATGCAGCCAGCTCTAGAGAGTCAGGCCAAGGGGTCCCTTCTCCCCATGGATATGCGTCTTCACTGTCCTCAGGAGCTGTGAAGACAGCATATCCCACCTGCCTTTCATCTAGCAAATCTATAGTAGCATGAACCCTGGCATGGGCTATATAAAGGCAGCTTGAAACCGGATGGAGGGAGGGGCTGCTTAACTAGTGAAATTCATGCTACCATGTAGAGGACATTGGTGGGGGCCTGTCTACAGGTGGGAAGGTTCAGGGATTGTTCCCTTTAGGCAAGTGCTGCAGTGAACAGTTGCCTACCACCACCTAGTGGCCTTAAAACCACTGCACATGAAAGATACAGCTCTCTGGCCCCATGCAGCCTGTTCCTGCTGGTGAAAAGATGCCTACTGACGCACTGCGTCTGGGGCAGTACAGACAGCTGTGCCCACAGACCAGCATCTGACTGGGGTTGAACACAGCTGGGGGACGAAACCCCGGTTCCAAGGGCTGCTGCCTTGGCACAAAGGGTTTCCATCCTTGGTTTCAAAATCCAGCAGCAGAGCCAGTCAGGAGCAGGACCAGTGGGGGCTGAGCCCACAGGGAACTACAGACACTGACAGAACCAAAGAAAAATTACACTGGTTTATTCAGGATCACCACCTTGCCCCAAACAGAGACAAATTCCACTGGCCGGTTGTTCAGGGTCTTTGTCAGCTGGATGCAGGAGTCAGGTCCCAGCTACATTCTGAATCCAGTAGAGAAGGAGAGTCTGGGAGTGGGGTGGGGTGTTGTATCTCATCTTGGGGTGAGCTCAGAGAAGAAAATGGCTTTCTCCAAGACACCATTAGTGCCAGGGGAAGGGGGTGGGATTCTCTTTGTGCAAAGGCAGACGGGGTATCCGCAGGAGTCTGCAAGGTGGCAGTGGAGAGGAGGCCTCAGGGCTGGGGAGTGTTGTCCAGTATCTCAGGAAAGTCAGGAAACAGGGAGGCAAAGTGCTATGGATTCTAGGAGGGAAAAGATACATGCATGAAGATGGGGAAGGGAGCAGGTTGAAGTGAAGGCTGAGACCAAGGCACAACTGATCAACTCCCTGTGCGCTCAAGAGACCTATAGCAGGATCCTCCTCTTGGCAGTGCAAGGCCTCAACAGCTTCCAGGGATAGAAAGGGGCAGTGATAAATGTGATCCAGGCAGCGACCCTAAGCTGTGCCCATAAGCCCAGGCAGTAGGAGCCCAGGAGAAGAGACTGAATTGTCCTGGGGAGGAGGCCCGGGATGGGGTTCCAAATCCCAGAGTATGGGGCTCCAAACCACACCCCTGAAATTAGGGACCAAGGTGGTGAAGCAGGATGAGCCAACTCTGATGTTGCAAGCACTGACATGATCCTTTAGAGTGTGCAACTCAATCAGGACATCCGGGCTCCGTTTCTGATCTGGTGCATCACCTTGGGGCACCTTCCCAACTCTGTGCCTCAGTTTCCCCTATCAGTCAAATGACCCTCCTTCTCTAAAGGGTTCAAAGATCTGTGGGAGAAGAGTGCTGTCTCTACAGGGCTTGGCACTTGAATTACTGCTGACAAAGTTTCCTGGGAATTAAGCTCTCTGGAGCCTAACTGAGCCAAAAAACAGCCCAGTGTAATGACCCTACTCTGCACTTCACATGTAACCCTCAAAGGACTTGAAAAATAGCCAAGCATGAATCCATATCAAGCCCCCACTCACAGCACAGCCAAGGTGACTGGAGAGAGCAGCAGTGACCTGTCCATTGTCACCAAAAAGATGGGGTGGGACCCAGACTCCCCCAGGCCATGCCTCCTCCTGCATCCTTGTATTATGCATGTTCAGCATTAGTACTTCAGTATGCCACCCGCCTCAGCACCATTCCCTTCCTCCTCAGCTTAAGCAGACAATGGAGCCAAAGAAATCATCCCCCTCAGGTTTATCCATGGCCACAGATGAGGATACAAACACCACCAAGCTGCTTCTCCCCTCCACAGTGCCACACTTCACAGTTCTCCCTGTAATATCTCCTGCCCCCTTGTGTGAGGACAGGTTCATTACCAACAGGGCAGGCTCTCTCTCTAGAAGCCTAAGAGTGAACAGCAAGGTGATGGCTGTGTCACTTACCCCTTTGATCAGCTCTCCTCTAGGTCGTAAGCAGGCATGAGGTATTCCTTGGGGACAATCCCAACCACATTGTTCAGCTTCCCAATCCACCAGCCGTACATATTGTACTCCTGAGGAAACAATGTACAAGTGACTACGACCAGAATGGCTGAGGGGGAGCGGGGCAAACACTTATTTTTTTAATTTTCTGAATTCCAAGCCAAATTAGCCAAACCAAATTCCAAATCCAAGAGTCAGTCCAGAACCGTAGGTGGCCCTACTACCAGCAAACATCCTCCACCCCCATCAGATTCTTTGGTAGGCATCCTACTTGCAGGCCCAAGCCCAGAGGCTTGGGCTTTGGATGCCCCAGAGTTTTGCTTGCCCTTAGCCATTGGGCCCCAGGAACAAGCTAGGGAGGAGTCTCCCATTTCCATAAAGTGGGAATAAAGCCAAGGTTAACTACGCATTACCTATGCAGGTACTATCCCATGCCAGCAGAGCGGTCTTCCGCAGGTGTGAGTAGGAAGCCACCATGGTGATCATGGTATTTCCCCTGCCAGGCAAGCTTGATCTGAGCCAACAAGAGGCCGAGAAGGTACACATACGGCACTAGTCAGGTAGCCTCAGTCTGATTCCTGGCTCTTTCACTAATTCCTTGGGTGTCCTCAAGTCACTTAAAGTGAGGTAGGTGCCCAACTCCCATTGACTTTCACTGGAAGTTGGACACCTGTGTAGGTGCTCTGGTAACTCCTACAAGAGGCCTGCCCCTTTGCACATCTGGCCTTGAATCTCCATGTTTCAATATTTGGACTGTAGAATGGGAATACTGCTATGTACACTCCCCTTGTCTTTCCCTGCACTTGGGTGCTTACACTGCAAGCTCTTTAGAGCAGGAACTGTGCTACTCAGATAATGCACAGTGCTTAGCACAACAAGGCTGCAATCTTGCCCTGCAAGACTCTAGACATGAACATTGGTCATCCTAATGTCCTAGGCCCACAACCTGGAGTTCCAGCAGCAATTGGTACAGCAGTATACAAAGACAACCACAGAGGATTATCAGGACTCAACCATGTTCATGGCACTTGATGGGGCCCCAAATCAAAATCATAACAATAAAGAGCTGTCCTCTTGGCTCAGCCAACAGGTCTATCCAGCCCAGTGTCCTGTACCTCACAGTGGCAGAGAACGCTAAGGGAAAGAGTATATATGCAAAGCCTATCCAGGCTGAGCTGTCCCCTGGTCCTCTTCCCCTACAGCTTCCAGATATAGTTTGAAAAGGTTCTAGCCTCAGCAAGGCAGTCAGGATGTGCTGGGAAGCCTAAAGGAGCAGCAGCTGTTGCTGGACCCAGAGCTTGTCAGGACCTATGTGCAAAAATTTAAATGACTAAATTATAACATCAGTGCCTTTTGCACAAAAATGTAAACTTGTGACTGGGACCACCTGAAACATAACAATAAAGTTAATCCCATTTCCGGCTTTGGTATCAAGTACACCCTATGCCCAACTACACTAAATTGATTATGAATAAATTCTTCTTTCAAAGTGATTGCCTCTCCCTTGTTATCACATTCCTCACAAATCTAGGTGTCTGTGCCAGTTGGAAAATATTTTGGGATCTGCCCTGTTATAACAATGACCTACACAGTGCCTTACAATTCATGGTCTGAGGTGCTCAATTCAAGTAATCAAGTCCTACTGCAATTAATCGAGTAGTAAACCTCCAGCTTAGGGTGTTGAGCTAGAGCAATCAAGCCATACTATAGTTAAGCAAATGAGAAACCTCCAGAGCGATTAAGGGTTTTTGTGCATACCAGTTTCACCCACAACAACCAGAGACGGATCCAAAAGGCTAACATTTACAACACAGCCAAAGGACAATGACCCTCCACCCTGTCAGCTTTGTCCGGACCCTCATCTTCAACCCATCAAGAAAATATGCTTTGAAGAAACAGTATAAAGCAAGACAGAACTGCCAGCAAGGTATGTGCAGTCCAGGGAAGAACAAGAAGCCATCCTGCTATCCAGCCAACACGTGAAGGATACATGCATTGAGGTTGTACAAGAACTGCTGCCTGCCTGCATTGGGTAAAGATCTCTTTGCAGCTAAGACAATACTAGGACTAATAGCTCATTTTATATTGGGAAAGAGTCTTTTTCTGTTATTTAGTTGTGTAGCTTATTAGTAGTTATTAAAACAAGGCTTTCTGCTATTCATCAACCAAGTGTTATGTCAATTCTCAGAGCACTAGGTTAAAAAATTGGTTTCTAAGTGCAACAGCTATATTTTAATCTTCAAGCTTTACTCTTAAAAAACAAACAAACCACAATTACTTTTCCCCTGAGCATTGGTTGCAGAAGTGCGTCACTGAGAGGGATTCAGAGAAACAGCAGAGGCTTATGGCAGGCTGGAGGTGGCAAGGCAGCTCAAGTGGAACGGGCACAGCATAAACAGACTAGGGGGTCAGGGGGTGCAGGTATGCTACTAAGCAGTAATTTCACTTCATCTTCCAAGTTGGTGTCAGGGGGAAGGTGGGCTGAAGTTCTCCCTTAGCTCAACTAGAAAGCTTCCCAGGCCACAACTAGCCCTTTCTCTTTTGTCATTGCACCACACTCCTGATACAGCATCACTGTGATCCACAGACTTATCTCTGGGAAAGACTGTTCCCAGGGTGGGTAAGAAAATAGCTAGCTGAATGCTGGCAGGAGACAGATGTCAATGAACGCAATGGGGGAAAATCCCCTCTTGTCCTCCCTCCCTCACACCTGAGTGACCATCTGTGTATTTATCTGCTCTTATACAGATAACAGCAGTTACTGGAAGCAAAAGATGGATGGGAAAATACGCATCTCCCCATCTGCCCTCCTGCAAAAGGCGTATTTTGTCTGAGCTATAAAATACATTTAGTTTAAATAATAGTCTTCTCTAGGCTTTCCCGGATGAACGCCTTAAGAATGCTATTCAAAAGCAAACCCCTCAGAGATCAGCCATGCTGCACAGTCACACAGGGCTTTCCACACTAACATCTCACTGCACTTCCCAGCCAGGAGGCGGACAGCTACCTTTGCACAGAGGGGTGACCAATTTCTGTGCAATGCCCGCATTCAACAAAGGGCTTCAGAAAAACATGTACAGTGAAAGGAGATCATCACCCTGCAGCCTACTCAGTCTCTGTCTACTCCTGTATCTTTCCAGCACCAGCAACCAACACCAGCTGCTTCAGAGTAAGGTTCAATAAACTCTGCCTTGTAGGATAATTTCCACATGGGATAATGCTCCTCAGGGGATGTTGCCTCCCAATCCTTTTGTTAGAGTTTAGCTTATATGCTGAAGCTCTAAGGCTTATACCCCTTTGACTGGCTCTCTGCACAGGAGTGAATGTATCCCCTTAATAGGGTAACTGTCTCTCTTTTGCAGCTGGGGAAGCTGAGAAAGAGCTGGTGAAGGGATTTGGTTTGGGGTAGGAATGCACGATGAGCAAGTAGTGGTCGGAGACAGAATCTGGGTTTCCTCAGGCCCAGCCCTCTTGGGCCACAATCCTTCCAGCATGGGGGATGAAACCCAGGTGTCCCCCTCTCTGCTCCCACCCCAGGACAGACACCCAAATATGCTGCCTTCCAGCTGTGAGCAGGAGATAGGAACAAGTGCCTGGCAGAGGGGCTGACTTCAGCCACTGGCATGCTCACTAGGCCACTGCACAGCAGCTGAATCCTTGAATTGAGCAGGCTGCAATGCTGCTGGGTCCCCGGTTGGTGAAAGCTTCCATCCAAAACCCCCACTTCAAGCACTTGCCTTACTCTCCTCTTAAAGTGGAAAGGAAAATCCTGCTGCAAAAGAGGAGCAAAAGCTTTGTGTCAGAAAGGCAACCTGACCTGGGTAGGCAGAAAGATGAAATCAATCCAGCCAGATCCCCAGCCCCTGGACTGGTGGGCTGGATTGGATGGAAGGGCTGAGCCATGGGTACCAGGTCAGAGAGCTGTACAAGGTATGAATGGAAGAATGCAAGCCTGCATCCCAGCCCTCCTCTGCCTGCTGCAGCTACGCCTCGGCCTGAACACCATGAGGTATTTTAAAATAATTTCTGCTTTGATGAATTGCCGGGGAGTCTGCGATTGCTCATAATCAAAGGGAGGAAAATGCAAATGAGAGCCAGCCGAGAACTATCGGCACCAAACGTTTATTTCACTGCACAGTGCCAAAAAGAATTAAAACAACATTAAACTCCCAGCAATAATGTTTAAGTCCTCGTTTCCAAGTGCCAAATTGCACCACTCTGGATCATACAGATGTTCGTTAATTATGCTAATTTTTATTAAACTATTAAAGCGAGGAGTGCACTGGCACAGCGAGGCAGAGCCCAGTGCAGAGTGAACTCTGCTCTCGTCTGGAGGTACTAATTTACTTGTGCATCTCACTAAGATGCTGATGCCTGGGTTTAAGGGGTTGCTGAGCAGTTGGATTTTTCAGGAAGGGGGCGGGGGGATGGTGGGGGGGAAGAAGATAGCGGTTGAGGGACGCTTCTTCAGAATCTGCCTAATTAAGTTCTAATGAAGCCTGCATGGACTGGGATGGAGATTTAGTATAATTTAGTTAAGACTATACATGAACTTACTGGGGTGGGCAAGGTCTTACATACACAGACCCCTAACCAAGGTAAGAGATACTTGTGGTCCTCTGGCTTAACAATGCTACACTACACACTCAGTCAGTGCTTCTCTCTCAAAATGGACTTTAAAAGGCTTTGCAAAGCCTGGCCTGGCCCCATTATACAGATACTGAAACTGAGGCAAAACGCAAGGGGAAGGGATGTCAACAAGCCCACAGGATAGTGTGGTGAGAGAACCAGAGTCACATAACTCCCAGGGGTATCACCCCCAACTCCTGCCTAGCTTTCCTCTTTGTCCTGCTGGTTTCATACCAGTTTTAACTCTATTGAATTATTCCTGATTTATGCTAGGGCAAGGGAAGAATCAGCCACTATGTCACTCACAAAACAAACCCTACTAAAAGAAGCCAGTGGCTCTGAATACTGCCTCCTTGCAATGAGCTGTTCCACTCAGCACTGAGGACTTATTTAATTTGTTTTTACTAAAACTCAGAGATTTACTTTCAGAAAGCAGAAACCCTCCAGTGGCTCCAGTGCTTCACATGTTTCGTTCCAGAGATCCGCCGCGATGAGTACCTGAAGCAGACGCTCTCGCTCCCCTAATCGCCAGCAATCGGGGGCTTTTATGGTGGGTTTGCGCATGGGGCCGTAAAAGGATTTATGCTGCTAATCTCCATCAACAAGGGGAAGGGGAGGGGGGAAGATCCCCAGCAACAACACGTCTGCCATAAAAGAAACAGCACATTCTATAAACAAAATGTGCGGCGGCCACTGGCATGGGGAATATTTCACAGCTGGAATAAGCCTCAAGTGGTTTTCCTGTTGCCATTTAAGGCTGCAAGACTATCACAGTCCTCCTTAGTACTCTGACTGTCACAGGGCCTTGAGTCCCTTCATGGCACTGCAAAATGCTCTGGCAGTAGGTGTCAAGAGATACCAAGGGGAAAGCAGTAGGCTGCTATCATAAGTCTGAAAAGAGACTGAAGGCCCCCACAATACGATTGCTCCATTTTAATTTCCATCCACCCCTCGCTGCTTCATATTTGTGCAATCTCTCACAAGCAACTGAGCCACAACCTGCAATGACCACCCCTTGCCATGGGAGCTGGAGAGGAGCCCAGGGTGGATTCTCAGCTACTATACAGTACACTAGCGAAGCTTTGCTGATTGTAATGGAGCTGTGGCAACCAATGCCAGCTGAGGATTCGGCCTTCAGCCTCTAAGGCTTGGACTAAAACTCACGCTTTCCTGGCCCCTCGTGTCAAGCTTCCCACTGTGTGTTGCAGTAATGGTTTCCCTACCTTAGTCTAGAGGGATTGCACTCTGTAGAGTGACAGGAAAATTAGGACCCTGGGTTCATTCAGTCTTGAGGTTTACATACACCCCTGGTACTTCCCTGGAGAGGTTGTCTGCTCCGGGAGTGAAACAAGAAGCTATGATTTTTGTGTCACGGTAGCACCCAGCTGCCCCTCAAGGATGAGGAATCTCATATGTCAGGTGCTGCGCAAACACATGCATTGGGGGGGGGTCTCTGTCTGAGTAGGCAAAGGATGGCTGAGCTAAAGTGCTACCGTCCCCACCTAACAGAGGAGCTGTGCCAGACAGGGGCTAAATAACATAACCAAGGTCACAGAGGGGAGTCTGCAGCAGAAAAAAAAGAATTGAACCTGGTCCTCCTGAGCCCCAGGCTGGCACCTTTAAGTCCATGTCCCTTCATGTCCAACATTGCAGCTGTATATGTTTGCAGACTTTCTGCTCCGCAAATAGTAATCATTGCAAAAGCAACATCTACTTGTCCTGTGTGAATTCTCCCCGCCCCGCACCCAGGAGTGCAGGTCCCCTGTTTATTCCTTCTCCCAAAGCAGGACTGATAATATTTACTCCCCACCACTGCTTGCAAGCCCTAGTCACCATCCGTGCGCCTTTTGCCAGCCCTCATAAACAACCCTATCCTACTTCAGGAACGCAATTAATCAGACCCCCTTCACACAGAAGATCAATGACGCCTTGATGGATGCCCAAGGAAAAGCCAATCAATCAGGGACTTATCGGTTTATGATTGCCCAGCCCCATTATTAGTGCTTGTGTGTCATACATTATTGTTAATAAAATGGAGGATTCTAATTCATATGTGAGGCATGTCATGTGCTATTAGAGGGTCACCTGACATAGGGGAGTTTTATACCAGGTCAGCTATACGTCTGTTTACCTAGAAAAAACAACCCAGAACTGAAGCGAGCTTTGAAATTTAGGATCTCCCTTCAGCCCTTAGGGGATTCAAAACCTGGAACCAGCTGAAGTCATTACTGTAATAGCTGAGAAACGCCATTTATTTAGGAAATGCTCACCTACATTTTCCAGCTTGGTGGGGGGAAGAGTTCTCTCCATGAAAGAGGAACTGGCATGGGGAGGGAGTGAATTAACACCTGTAAAAAGACTCTACTAGGCTGGAGGCAGCATCCCACTGTGCTCTGTGCCTTGGCTTCGATTCTTGGCAAATCACTTCCCTCCACCCTTCTCGTTTATTATTCAACGTTTCTTCTTATAAATCACAATAAAAAAAATGAATTATTAAATTTGTTCCCAACTATTATTTATTTGCTATTATGGGAAA